CCCCCCCCGGACAGTCCAGGACCCCTTCTTGTCACCCAGCCCTGGTGGCCCTGGTGACACCCCCCAGGGTAAGGGTCCCCCCAGCATATGCCCTACCTCTGTGTTGAGGGGCTGGCTCTATTCCCAGCTGGTGAGGAGGAGGAAGATGAGATCAGGAGGAAGGTCCAGCCCTGGCTCCTCACCCCGCAGAGCAGCCACAGAGGATTTCTCTGTCCCGAGAGGAGTCTGAAAGCAGAGGCCACTTTGGCACAGTTAGTCCAGTCCCTCTCAGTGACGGCTCCATGGGGGTCCCAAGGGGGGGGCCACTGCACACGAGCTGAGACATGCTCAACAGTCAAGTGGGGTGCTCTGGGAACCCCACACTCCCCCTGGCTCTGCCCAACTGCCAGGCAGACAACAGTGAAACAGACCCCAGAATACAGGATTTCGGTTCCCTGACCCAAACTGTGCTGCAGAGCTCCCCTAAGAACACCAACGGCAGGCACAGAGCAGGGTGGGGGCTCCTGGGGAGCTGGCCTTCAGTGGCAACGAAATAACTAACTCCCTGCTTCTCACACCATCGTTAGGCTTCAGAGTGAACAGCACACAGCACAGACAGGATCAGCACAGAGGCACAGCGCTGCCTGCAGAGAGCAGGCACCTCTGACCTGATCCACACTGCTTTTGGGACACAGGGGACTGGAAATGTGGAGGATGATAAGGATTTCTTGAATGGGGCCACCAAGGCTGGGGTGGATGCACACAAGCTTCATCTTCCCTGGGGGCCCATGGAGCAACCCCCCCTCCATCCTGCAGTGGGCAGAGGAGCGCAATCGCTTCCCTGGGGATGGGACAGGGATGGGCCTGGGGAACAGGTGTGGGGAAGGGCTCCTCCTTTCCTCCAGGACAGCCCAGGACCCCTTCTTGTCACCCAGTCCTGCTGACACCTCCCCAGGGCAAGGGTCCCTGGGACTCACACGGTGAGGGCACCACGTTTTGGCTCAGCCCTGGGATGATCCAGCGTCCCTTTCCATCCTGCACTCACCTCCCCGTCCCCCCTTTTACCCCCCCTTTGGCTCCATCCCTGCCCAGGAAAAGGCGATGCCAGGCTATCACCCAGTCACCGGCCAGGGTCCCTGGGTGACACAGCCTCAGCCAGCGGCCACTGCAGCTGGGGCAGTATTTGACCACTTCTTGTTTTTCCATTTTAAATAAAAATTTTAAAAGGAAGGGAAGCAGCAACACAGCCTCCACTGCATTTCCAGCATGCCCCATCCACAGCATCCCTGTGCCTGTCCCTCCTTGCTGCCCTGTCCCTTGGTGGCAGTAACCCCCTCCTACACAGGGAAACTGAGGCAGAGGGGCCCCCCAAGCAGCACCCCCTGCCCCAGGAGCCCACACACCATGGGAACACCAGGGGACATGGGCACATGCTAACACCCTCCACCTTACCTGCACACCAACCCCCCAGCACCTATTCCAGCAAGTTTTGGACACCCCACCCTGTCCAGGGCATCCATCCCAATTTTTGGGATGCCAGCACCCCAACAGTCCAGACCGACTGCAACCCAGCCCCGTGCAGCCCCCGGGGAGCTTATGGGGCCCCCAGCCCTGGTGGGAACCTGGCACCTTCAAAGCGCTGCCAAGCACCAGCTCATTAATCCCCCAGTAATGACCTCGTTATTCCTAACGAGGCAGAGCGGATCAAGGGAGCTGCTGTAAGAGGATTTTGCAACGGGGGTTTTGGGGCTGGGAGAACACAGGTGGCAAAGGAGGGGAAGACAAAAGGGATGAGGAGTCACCCTGTCCTGGGGGGGGCCAGCAGTGGGATCGTGCCCCTCCAGCCCACACCTTGGGTTCCCCCATTTTAGCAGCTCTGTCCCGCAAAGGGTACCCAGCCTGATGCAGCAGCAGAGAAACCTGAGCAGCCTGCACCCCAGAAGAGCCCAGCCTGGCTGGCTGCACACCCTCCCACCAGGGCCAGGAGGCAGCAGAGAAGCAGGGAGCACCCTGTTAGTCTTGGGGGGCATAAGACCACTGCAAGAGCCCAACCCTTACAGAAGACACCAGAGAATCTCGGCAGAGCGCAAAGGACAGCCACCACCTCTTGCACGCAGACGGTTTTATTTATCACAGCCAAACCAGCTCTCACTCCCTTCCTCTCTGCCCCACAGGCGAGCCCCAGCCTCCCAGGATCCCCCCTTTTCTGGGGAGAGCCCCCCCAGACCAGGTGTCAGCACCCAGGGAAAGGTCTCAGGGCCGGAGCCCCGTGGCGGGGACAGGGCACGGCCCCTGGCCCAGCACCGTGGGGACACAGCAGCGAGAGGCAGAAGCAGAGAGACCCAGGGGGAGCAGGGGAGCCCCCTTTGCACCCAAAGCCAGTCCCCGGGGGATAGAGGACAGCAGGCAGCACTGCGCCCCCCCCACCCCAGCCCTGCACCCAGCTGCCCCTATGTAAAGGGGACAGACGCCCGCAGGTGGACGGACAGACAGGGTTCAGCCCAGCAGTGCTGCTCAGTCCCAGCGGACCTTGATGGGGGGGAAGGTCCAGAGGTCAGGGTGCCCCATGTGCAGCAGCGCGGTGCAGGGGGACGCGCTCCAGCGGAAGGGGGGCACGTCGGCCCAGGCGGGGCCACTGGCGGCCACCAGCCCAAAGGTGGGGGCCATGCCTGAGGAGGTGACCTGGTGCCAGGGAGAAAACACAGGGGTGCACGTCAGCGTGGGGACGGGGTAACGCAGTCTGGGGGGAGCTACTGGAGGGGGGTGCACCCCCAAAGAGGGGTCTCCAGCTCCCCACCAGCCCCACCTCCAGGGCTGCCCCACCTTCATGTCGGTGCCGCCGTGGCAGCGCTGGCGCAGGGCGGGGAAGGGGTAGGTGCCGTTGGGGGGGTTGAGGTCAGAGCGGGCAGAGATGGCGTTCTCCGCATTCTGGGGGGGGTCACAGCCCCTGCACCGTGACAACGGGTCCTGCAGGTAGTTGTTGGACCTGTAAGGTAGCCAAAAGAGAGCTGTCATGAAAGCAGGGAAAAAAAGATATATAAATTTATACTGAGAGAAAAAATCACCCTGAGGGTTATAAAGCCTGGGGTGGGGGTATGGGGAACACCCAGGTTTGGGGGGTGCCCCAGCACCCACCTCATCAGGCGGACCATGGAGTCCAGGTCATGGACCAGCGTCTGGTTCCGACGGAAAATCTGGGCACGTGGGTTCTTGTCGTAAGTGAACCAGTCGCCGTATTTCTTCACCAGCTCAGGGTTCCCGCTGGCGTTGAAGATCTCCTCGAAGTACCTGGCATGGGACACAGTGAGTCAGCACCCAACGGTGGGGGGCAAGGCCAGCGCCAGCTGCCCCCCTTGATGGGGCATCGGTGGGGTGGGATGAGGCCGGAGGGAGCTCACGGCAGGTTGTAGCTGGCCCAGTAGCCCTGCTGGTACAGCAGCTCCGTCTGATCGGCCGCCACCACCAGGCCCCTGTGCCAGGAAGACAAGCATCTGTTACAGCAGAGGGGGCAATCGAGTGGGGATGGGGGCAGCCCCGGTGAGGGTCCCTGCTGTGGGGTTCCTGCCCCAGCCAGGGGTGCGGGGCACCCACCCCCTGCATACAGGGGCATACAGACTGGCAGCACAGGCAGCTCCTGCCTGCATCTGTGTCCCCATCGCCCAACTCCCACCCATTGGGCAGACAGGACCCTCAGGGCTTTCCCAAACCCACAGGGATGGGAGAGGAGACGCTTCCGCCGTGGCTCAGCGCAGGAGCTGTCATGGGGGGAGGAACAGGGGCACTCACGGGATCTGCTCCAGCACGGTCAGCAGGCCCGGCGGCGGGCTCGCCCTCCCTGGCGCGAAGGCGTTATAGTCCACCACCATCCACTGGTTGTTGTACCTGGCACGGAGAAGGGGGGAAGCATCCCTCCAGCAGCCAGCTCCCCCGGGGACATCCCATCTCTCCGATCCCAGCCCCTCAGGACAGCTTCCCACACCCATCCCGCCCCGCTCACGTGCCGCTGTTGAACCGTCGGAAGACGGCGGCCCACTCGGGCCCGCTGCGGGCCAGGCGGTTGGCCACGATGTTCCTCAGCCACTCCAGGACGCTGCCCTGCGGGTCCAGGTACTTCCACAGGGCCGGGTTGTTGTTCCCAATGGTGGTTTCCAGCGCTACCTGCGGGGAGGGAAGCGATGGGGAGGGCAGCGCAGCCAGGGAGGGGTCTCCGAGGACCAGACCCCCACTCACCAACCCACTGCTGAGGATGTAGAAGTCATCCCCGGAGAAGATGGTGCCAGGGTAGGAAGAAAACACCTGGATGCTTCCAGGGATCTGAGAACTGCCTGGAGGGGGGGATGCAAAAGCAGGGCAGCATCAGAAGGGGAGTGTCAGACGCAGCCCCCCCAGCCCAGCCCACGCACCGCCGGCCGAGGCACGGAAGGGCAGCGTGTACTTCTTGATGATTCGCAGCATGGACTGGTAGGAGGTCCAGGTGTCGTGGGCCACCAGGAGATCTCGATGGCCCGGCAGCAGCTTTAGGAGGGCAGAGCAAGAGCCTGAGCCCAGGACGCGCTGCGGGGAGGAGCGGTTCAGGGCAGACTCCAGGTCCTCCAGGTCACCCCCCAACTGCAGCAGGCTAGGGGGAAGAGAGACACGGGCAATCAGGTGGGGAACACCCCGGCCCAGGAGCCGAGCTGGCTCAGAGCTCTCTCTCTGTCCAGGCCAGAGGGTGTTTCTCCATCCCATCCCAGTGAACGTACTAGAGCCAGGAGCACCCTGGCAGCCTGAGCAGGGAGGGAAGAGTGAGCAGAGCAGTGGGGAAACTGAGGCAGGGGGGCCGCACCACCCAGCCCAGAGTGCTGGGGAGGAGGAGAACCTGCCTTGGCTCTATCCTGCCCCAGCAGGAGGGGACCAGCACCCAGAGAAGGTGGGCAAGGGGGACTGGGAGCAGAACTGGGTGTCCCTGGACATCCCAGAATCATTCCCACTGCCTCCCCCAGCAGCATCCCAACCCCTGGGGCGACCACCCCCGACTCCCCATCACCTCCAAGAAGGACCTTACAGGAAGCCGAAGGGCGCCAGGGTGAACCTGCCCCGGGGGAAGTCCAGGCGGCCGTTGTAGCTGTCCTCTAGCCCCTTCAGCTGCAGCAGGGCCAGATGCACCTGCGGGGACAGGGGACAGAGCTGGCACCTGGCTTCCGTGGGGAAGAGGGGTGAGGGATTTGGGGGATGGGCCCCCCCCCTTCCCACAGGGGACACAGGAGATCCAGTGGGTCCTGGAGCTGTTGCAGAGGCAGGAGAGGGTGCAGGGGAAGCATCACCGTCAGCAGGGCCGTGACTCAGCACCGATGGCTGGGGGGGGTCGAGTCACCCCCTGTGTACCCTAAGAGCATCACGTGAGGCTCTGGCACGTCAAGAGCCTCAAGTCATGAGTCGTCTGCTTGCCCCAGGGAGGAGGATCCATGGTGGCCACATCTCTGTCATCTCACCTGGAGCCAGGCCAGGACCCCTTGCTGCCCTGTCCCCTCTTCTTAATTAAAGCCGCAATTAGCCCAAGGGGATGTAGCGGGGTTCACCCTGGGTGGGGGCACCCCATCCTCACCTGGTGCCAGTACTCAGGGTCCTCCCCCTTCGCCATCTGCTCCTCCATCCAGCCCAGGTTGGCCTCGAGGTACCTCCGCAGCTTCTCGCAGTAATCGCTCTCGTACTTGAAGGGGCCGCAGTAGCCCACCATGGTGTTCATCCAGTGCATGTACATCAGCTGGGGGGCACGGCGGGGGCGTCACCGGCGGGGGCCAGCCGGGAGGGACCGCATCGCGCCCCCCGGGACCCCCATTTCGAAGGGGTCACCCCTTACCTGCTCAGAGACGGCGGCCTCGGCGAGCCCGGCGGCGTAGGCCTGTAAGCTGTCGCTGTACGAGGCGTTGGTGGTCACCTCCAGGAAAGCCCATCTGGGGGGGACACGGACGCGGGTGGGACACGGGTGGGACGGGGCGCC